TTTTACCCCGCCCCCCCCCCCCCCCCCCCCCCCCATTTTCAGGGGCTCAAGTGTAATTGGACAAATAAATATAATCATTAATAAAATAAAATAATCACGCTTCTCTGACTGGAACAACGACTCTCGAAACACCATTGGGCTTGAGGAGCAATGTGAGCCCTGAACGTCACGCAACCCCATCATTCCTCCAACAAAGAGGAGTTATCATAGAACTAATCAGAAATAAGTCACTGGAACTAGCACACATGATAAGAGCGGATGATTGTTTGCATGTTTTGTTGTCTACTTACAGATTTAAATACAAAAACAACGATGTGTTACAATAATAAGTGATACATTGATCATAATGAATTAATTTGTCAGGATTGAAAATTAGTCGCACAGAAATAAAGTGGTATTTACCGTTATTACTCAAAAGAAAGAGGGCACATCAGTCGGTTTCTGTTTATTTGTAGTCACAGTATACATCACTAAAACTATGATTAGCCTATATATATTTTATGACATTCGTGGAGCTAAATAAGAACATCAGACAGTCAGATATAAAGAGTCAAGACTTACTGACAGATGAAATATGTTACTAAATAAATAAACGACTGTGATAGCCTATATTTGTCTGTTTTCTTTATGCGGTCGTGTTTACCATGTTTACTATGGTAATGGCTAGCGTAGTCTTTTGCATCCCTTATAAATATTTCTGCCTTGTATGGTGATCATAATCCACATTGTATCTCAAGCAGAAGTTATTTCAAACACTCGCTGCTGTTTGAAAGTGAGTTTTGAGCTCAAATGATTGTAAGAGTCTTTACTGCTGGTGTTATAGCTGTTAACTCTATGCAATGATCCGCGGCGCTGACGCTCTCCAGATGCAGAGAAACTCCTCCTTTGCTCATAGCCACTCCTCTAGCCCCAGCTGGCCCAAGCCCGAAATCCCGGGCCGTTGGCCCCGACGAAGCCCCGCTGAAGTGAAATCCCAGCCGTTGGCCCCGAGGAAGCCCCGCTGAAGTGAAATTCTAGCCGTTGGCCCCGAGGAAGCCCCGCTGAAGTGAAATCCCAGCCGTTGGCTCCGAGGAAGCCCCGCTGATGTGAAATCCTAGCCTTTGGCTCCGAGGAAGCCCCGCTGATGTGAAATCCTAGCTATTGGCCCCGAGGAAGCCCCGCTGATGTGAAATCCTAGCCTTTGGCTGAAATCCCAGCCGTTGGCCCCGAGGAAGCCCCGCCGATGTGAAATCCTAGCTATTGGCCCCGAGGATGCCCCGCTGAGGTGAAATCCCTGGCCGTTGGCCCCGAGGAAGCCCCGCTGATGTGAAATCCTAGCTATTGGCCCCGAGGAAGCCCCGCTGAAGTGAAATCCTAGCTATTGGCCCCGAGGAAGCCCCGCTGAAGTGAAATCCTAGCTGTTGGCCCCGAGGAAGCCCAGCCGAAGTGGCCCTGGCACGTACTAACCCGCTTCTGATCCGACAGTGGAAGCACAGCTATGAACATCAGCAGAGACTGGATTTCTCTTTTGTGATGGTTTGTCAGGCCTTTACTGCAGCTGACTTCAGTTGATGTGTGTTTGTGGCTCTTTCAGCGAGTGAAATGCAGCTCAGTTGTGTTGAGATCAGGAGACTGACCCTGCCATTGCAGAATAATCCATTGTTTTACATTCAGAAACTCCTGGGTGGCTTTTGCTGTATGTTTTGGGTCATTGTTCATGTGTACTATGAAGCACCGCTCAATCAGCTTTGCTGCACTTGACTGAATCTGGACAGAGAGTATATCTCTACACACTTCAGCGTTCATCCGGCTGCTTCTGTCTTCTGTCTCATTATCACTAAACACCAGTAACTCAGAGTCACTGAAGCCATGCACGCTCATGCATCACACTGCTCCGTGTTTAACAGATGATGTGTGTGCTTTGATCATGAGCTGTTCCAAGCCTTCTCCAGACTTCTTTCTTCCCATCATTCTGGTACAGCTTGATCTTAATTCCAGCCGTCCAAAGAGTGCTCTGGCTGTTTTAGATGTTTTTTGGCAAAGTCTAATCTGGCCTTGTTTGCAGCTTGTGGTGAAGCCTCTGTGTTTGCTCTGGTGAAGTCTTCTCTTGATTGTAGACTTTGACAGAGACCCGTCTGCCTCCTGGAGAGAGTTCTTCTCTTGGCTGGATGTTGTGATAGGGTTTTTCTTCACCATGGAGAGGATTCTCCGATCATCCAGCACTGTTGACCTCTGTGAACGTCCAGGTCTTTTTATGTTGCTGAGCTCACCACTGCATTCTTTTTCTCTCAGAATCTACCAAACTGTTGATTTGTTCCTGCTATCTCTCTGATGGATTTGTTTTGTTTTGAAGCCTATCAAACGTCTGTTTCACTTGTATGGAGAGCTCCTTTGACCACATGATGTGGTTCACAGCAACAGCTTCCAAATGGAAATGGCATCACGCGGTTAATCGTCGCAGAAATTGCAAATGCACATTGATTCTCTGCCAGCAGGAGGCGCTGTTGGAGCGGGAGATATAGCGGTTTCCCCGGTAACGGCTGTGATCTAATAAGCACTGCGTTCACAAACGCTACTCTATTAGGCATTACAGGAGAGACAAAATGACATCGAAGCTTTTCTGAAGACACTGGACACTGCTATAATTCAATTGGCCATAATCTAAGTGATAAAAATGAAAGTTTACTCGTATTACACAGCCTGCAGCTCACATCGTGGAGGCTATTGTCAGACCTACACACACATTTCATGAGGAAAGTTATCGTGCACGTTATAATCAGCCCAGAAGTTTTGATTGAATTGCACATGTTTCTACTTTAACATGCAAATGACTTGTTGCACTTATGAATATGATAACGTTCCGGCATCAATTCTAGTAGGATAAAACGTAATTCTGCTTTCGAAACGGTCTGTTTTGCCCTGCCATCATTAGCTGAAGCTGTGTGTGAACGAGCCGCGGCTGCAGAGTGTCTCCGTCTCACGCAGCCAGAGAGATTCTCCGGTGTTCCGCAACAATGCTTAGCTGCCCGCAGATGCGTCTGCCTATAAATCGGCCTAATTTGCAGCACAATCGGCTGATGCAGATTAATTTAAAAATGCAATCGGTCGACCTCTAATCGAGCTTGATTATTCCGCCACCAGGCAAGCGGTCAGAGTGCAGATCAAGGGCTTCCTCCTGCAAATAGCCTACCTTTCGACTTCAGTGTCTGCACGGATTATTTTTGGGACCGGAAAAAGTGAGGTGATGATGGAGTTGACCTCAACACCGTGGTCGGCATCTCATTACTGCAGTAATGCGGTTATCATCACAGCCCTACTGTCCAATTACTTATGGTCCCTTGAATAAGGGGGGAGGTGTATATTAAGGAGCTGTTTTAATTCCTTAACCTTTCATCCAATTGTGATAAGAATACCCTCAAATTAAAGCTCAGAGTGTGCACTTTAAGCCCATATTCTTTAGGAAAGGAAAGGAAAGGAAAGGACGTGATGTGTGGCCAAGTATGGTGTTCCATATTTGGAATATGTGCTCTGCATTTAACCCATCCAAGTGCACACAGCAGTGAGTAGTGAACACACCCGGAGCAGTGGGCAGCATATTGCTGCGGTGTCCGGGGAGCAGTTGGGGGTTCGGTTCTTGCTCAAGGATCTCTCCACAGTCGTGGTATTGAGGGTGGAAGAGAGCGCTGGTTATTCACTCCCCCCACCTACAATCCCTGCTGGACCTGAGACTCGAACCCTTCGGATTACAAGTCCGACTCCCTAACCATTAGGCCACGACTGCCTCATGAAATAATAATAATAATTAATAAATAAAATAATAACATGGGCCTGTGTGCAGATATATATGGACCTAACTGTATATATATCTTTGTGTTTTCAGTGTCACGGGGCGTCTGGTCGGGTCATGGCTTCGGGTTCGGAGGCCGTTCACTACATCCACCTGCATAACTCCAGTCAGTCTGTGCTGGAGGCCCTGAGGTCTCAGCGGCGTAAAGGTCTGTTCTGTGACGTGACGGTGCGCATCCACGACGCGTCTCTGCGGGCTCACGCCTGCGTTCTGGCGGCCGGCAGCCCCTTCTTCCAGGACAAGCTGCTGCTAGGTCACTCTGAGATCTCGGTGCCACCGCTGGTTCCCGCAGAGACGGTCAAGCAGCTGGTGGACTTCATGTACAGCGGCTCGCTGGTGGTGCTCCATTCGCAGGCGCTCTGCATCCTCACCGCCGCCTCCATCCTGATCTAAGTGATAAAAATGAAAGTTTACTCGTATTACACAGCCTGCAGCTCACATCGTGGAGGCTATTGTCAGACCTACACACACATTTCATGAGGAAAGTTATCGTGCACGTTATAATCAGCCCAGAAGTTTTGATTGAATTGCACATGTTTCTACTTTAACATGCAAATGACTTGTTGCACTTATGAATATGATAACGTTCCGGCATCAATTCTAGTAGGATAAAACGTAATTCTGCTTTCGAAACGGTCTGTTTTGCCCTGCCATCATTAGCTGAAGCTGTGTGTGAACGAGCCGCGGCTGCAGAGTGTCTCCGTCTCACGCAGCCAGAGAGATTCTCCGGTGTTCCGCAACAATGCTTAGCTGCCCGCAGATGCGTCTGCCTATAAATCGGCCTAATTTGCAGCACAATCGGCTGATGCAGATTAATTTAAAAATGCAATCGGTCGACCTCTAATCGAGCTTGATTATTCCGCCACCAGGCAAGCGGTCAGAGTGCAGATCAAGGGCTTCCTCCTGCAAATAGCCTACCTTTCGACTTCAGTGTCTGCACGGATTATTTTTGGGACCGGAAAAAGTGAGGTGATGATGGAGTTGACCTCAACACCGTGGTCGGCATCTCATTACTGCAGTAATGCGGTTATCATCACAGCCCTACTGTCCAATTACTTATGGTCCCTTGAATAAGGGGGGAGGTGTATATTAAGGAGCTGTTTTAATTCCTTAACCTTTCATCCAATTGTGATAAGAATACCCTCAAATTAAAGCTCAGAGTGTGCACTTTAAGCCCATATTCTTTAGGAAAGGAAAGGAAAGGAAAGGACGTGATGTGTGGCCAAGTATGGTGTTCCATATTTGGAATATGTGCTCTGCATTTAACCCATCCAAGTGCACACAGCAGTGAGTAGTGAACACACCCGGAGCAGTGGGCAGCATATTGCTGCGGTGTCCGGGGAGCAGTTGGGGGTTCGGTTCTTGCTCAAGGATCTCTCCACAGTCGTGGTATTGAGGGTGGAAGAGAGCGCTGGTTATTCACTCCCCCCACCTACAATCCCTGCTGGACCTGAGACTCGAACCCTTCGGATTACAAGTCCGACTCCCTAACCATTAGGCCACGACTGCCTCATGAAATAATAATAATAATTAATAAATAAAATAATAACATGGGCCTGTGTGCAGATATATATGGACCTAACTGTATATATATCTTTGTGTTTTCAGTGTCACGGGGCGTCTGGTCGGGTCATGGCTTCGGGTTCGGAGGCCGTTCACTACATCCACCTGCATAACTCCAGTCAGTCTGTGCTGGAGGCCCTGAGGTCTCAGCGGCGTAAAGGTCTGTTCTGTGACGTGACGGTGCGCATCCACGACGCGTCTCTGCGGGCTCACGCCTGCGTTCTGGCGGCCGGCAGCCCCTTCTTCCAGGACAAGCTGCTGCTAGGTCACTCTGAGATCTCGGTGCCACCGCTGGTTCCCGCAGAGACGGTCAAGCAGCTGGTGGACTTCATGTACAGCGGCTCGCTGGTGGTGCTCCATTCGCAGGCGCTCTGCATCCTCACCGCCGCCTCCATCCTGCAGATCAAGACCGTGATCGATGAGTGCACGCAGATCATCTCGCAGAGACGTGCCGCCGCCGGGGCCACCCTGCCCAAGCAGGAGGAGAAGAGCTGCGAGAGCACCGCGCCGCTGCAGGGCTTCGCCTACGACTGCGGCTCCGACATGACGGCCGTGCTGGGGGGCGGGGCTCCAGGGGACGGGGGCGGAGTCAGCGCACTGATGCCCCTCGGCGAGGTTGGGGCCATGTGCAGAGGGGAGGGGCTGGGAGGGGCCATGTGTCGAGGAGATGGGATGGGTGTGGCAGGGGGTGTGGTCATGTGCAGAGGGGAGGGGCTGGGTGTGTCTGGGGGCGGGGCTATGCTGAAGCCCACCAGCTGCTCGCAGGAGATGGGCTACATGCTGAACGCGGAGCGCGGCGCAAGCTCAGCGAACGAGAACATCGCGGCGAACGAGCGCGACGGAGGGGCAGAGTACAGCGGCGTGGGGGAGGAGCTGGTGGGCGGGGTGGAGCACTTCAGTGAAGACGAGGAGAGAGACGCGGACCGAGACGCCGAGAGAGACCGGCAGACACCGCACACGCGCAAACAGAGACAGCCACTGAGACTGCAGGTAACGTTAACACTGATCCTCTTTACAAGCCACTGCTACCCTGTCAGATTTTACTACCTCCCTTTACAGTAGTAGCATTTGACAATGAAAAATGCTACCTGTCAAATTAGGGTTTATTAACATCTGCACCTATCCCAACCCTAAACCTACCCTTACAGTAATGCAAACACAGTAATTATTGTAGTTCAGCATGAGAAAAATTATGCAATATTGATGTGCACATGCGCAGTAAACCCTGGTAGGACAATCTGATGGGTAGGATAAAATGTTAGGACACCGTTTCATGATTTAGCGCCATGGTCTTAATTTCCACAGTTGCACAAATCCGTTTTACCGCACAGCCCAACTCTGTTTTTCCTCCCTCTTCGTTAACATCTTGCCTACATGATCTTAAAGTTTGGATGGATCAAAATTTCTTAAAATTGAATACTAAAAAATTTGATTTTGTTAGTTAGCCCTAAACCTCTGTCTCCTCTCATTGTAGTTATAGTTAATCCTTCCCCCATTATAGGTTATCTATTAATGCAATGTAAAGCGTGCTTGGGTTTTGAAAGGCGGTGTTTGAATGGAACTGCGTTTGGTGAGCGTGAGGACTGTGTGCAGGTGCTGGGTGGAGAGCATGTGGTGGTGAAGAACGAGGGTGTGCAGGATGGAGACGGTCTGTTTGAGATGGACGAGAGAGGAAACACAGCGCATCAGCCCGCCTACGCACAGGTACGACAAGCACCACCTCCTGTCACAGCAATATGGAGCAATCGTGAGGGGAATCCCTTGCTACAAATAACCCACAGTTCTTTGCATCAGCGTGAACACTACTGTGAAACGATGATGGCAGCTGCACGCTCTACTGCAAGTCATGTTAACTTTTTCAGCTAAAAAAAACAATACAAACAGCAAATCGATTCGATTCATAATGTTTTGGTTCGATTCGAGAACAGCTCTGGGCGTCTAAAGACGGCAGACACGTGTGCGTGCGTATGTGTGTGTGTGTGTGTGTGTGTGTTTCAGGGCGGCTTCTACGAGGACTCGGCCGTGTTCTCGGGTGGTTTCTGGCCTCAGGCGGATCCGCAGGTGTCTCTGGGCTCAAATCCTCGCGGCAGGGTCACCAAACCCCCGTCTCCGCCGCCGGCCTCCCAGAACCTCAGCAGCCAGGTCTGCCGGCCCATCGCGGTTAAGCTATGCGCGCCGGTGCGCTCGGCTAACGCTAGTTCGTCTGTGTTCGCAGATGCTGTTCCAGTTTCCTACCAGCGAATCACAGCAGCCGTCCTTCTTCGTGGGCGGACCCATGGTGATTGACAGCCTGGCTGAGTCGTGCCAGCAGGCCCCGCCCCCCACCTCCCTGACCCCGGCTCCGCCCCCCTCCACCCCAGCATGCCTGGCGGGGCCCAGCTTCGCGCCGCAGGGCTCAGAGACGTCCTTCGACTGCAGCCACTGCGGGAAATCACTGCGCTCCCGCAAGAACTACAGCAAGCACATGTTCATCCACTCCGGTACGGGCTTCAGTTACAATAACAACTCCATTAATATCAAAGTACTTTCTGAGTCACTTAGGTCAAGTGATTTGTTATGACTCAGATTTAATTAGCTGCTCTCTGGACAGCCAGCTAAACCAGTGTCCTGTACTACACATCAGAAGCGCTGCAGGTCCAGCATGTGTATGAAGTAGGACTGCATCAAACCATTATTTTGATAATCGATTAATCTAACGATTATTAGAATGGTTAACCGATTAATCATGAATTATTTCACTGATTAATCAGTAGACTTTGGTTATTTAGCTTTTGGAGTTAGTTAAAATAGTGTTATACATAATAAATAAAGGTAATTCATTATGTAATACATTATGTAAAAAAAAAAATCATATTATGTAATTACAATTATTATATACAAATAAATATATTTGGCGCACAAAATGAGATGGCAGAGAAACTCTTATTCACCATTTAATTAGCTATATGTGAAGGTAACTGAATGACACGTCATTCTGCCTAACATCTCCTTTTGTAAGTCATTTGGATAAGAAACCACATAATCTCTCTTAAAATACCGTATAGGGTTATGATAATCTAAACAGTCCTGAGCTAGCTCAAGCTTTGATCTCTGCAAACCAAACCATCACTTTAATTAAATGTTTTTCCCACTAATATAGAGATTTGATCGTTAGCTTTAGCTCCACACTGGAGAGCTGCTTTATAACACAAAATCAGGTTGTAATTCTAACTGAAAGCGACACTGACTCTGGTTTTTCATGTTTAATACTGTAAATCTTCTTGATTTAAGGCTATCTATTGCATAAAGCACTATATAAATAAACGTGAGGTGACTGGACTTTACTGGAGTACCGAACAAACATCCACATCGCTGTAATCAGATGCTGTCTTCACTGAGGATCAGTATCTGGGGCTCATCTAGTTGTCCTGGTCTCCGCTGATATTCAGAGCTGTAGAGGTCCTCTCTAGGTGCTGATCCACCATCTGGTCTGAATACGTACTGGATCCGGGTGACTGCAGTGACCCTCTGATCTGGATACAGACTGGATCTGGTGGCTACGGTGACCTCGGAATAAGAGAGAAACAGACTAATATTAGCGTAGATGCCATTCTTCTAACAATGTAGCAAGTACATCGGGTGTTATGGGAATTAACATTTGACATTGAGAGCATAGGTCGTAATTTAGATGCAGAGGTTTTAGGTCAGAGTTTAGGTGTTTTATCAGAGTTTAGCAGTAAGAAATTGCTCTTCCAGTTTTTTTATATCGACTATGCATTCCGTTTCGGGGTGCAACGGATCGTAGGTGATCCGCGATCCGTACGGACCAGGCCCCACGGTTCGGCACGCATGTGATTCGCTGTTTTCTATGCACTCAGGCGCTGCCGCCACACGAGAAGCATGCACACGCAGAGAGAGACACTGTGTGAACACCGAATTGATTCCTCTTTCACATACACACAAAGTTCTGATACAATACCCGTTTTGGCAAGTATTCTAGTAAAAACAGTCGGCTATGTCTTAAGTGAATGTAAACCGCTGGGAAAGAAACCGGATGTGTGTCAGTATTAGGTCCGTGCATTTGGTCTTCAAGAGACAGCAGCCAATAAATACCTGCCTCTGCTAATCAAATAACACTACAGCTCTAACAAAGATTAATCTGTATTTAACTTGTGCAGTGAGCACTATTGTGTTATTTTACACTGTTATTACATTTCTGCACCTGAATAATACTGTTTCTGACTTTATTTGTAACTGTGTTATGTTGTATTCATCAATGCTTGTAATTTGTGTAATTGTTTTTATTTTATTACTAACTTTATTAGGTAAGCTAGTATTTTGTGCTGTGGTATAGAAGTACTTAAAGTAAGCTTTCACAAAATTATTATTTTTTTTTTTTGCTGATCCGAAAAATTATCCGATCCGTGACTCAAAATCCGTAATATGATCCGAACCGTGAGTTTTATGATCCGCTGCACCACTAATTTCTGCAAAGAAATATAGAGCTGAGTATCATCAGCATAACAGTGAAAGCTAACACCGTGTTTCCTGATGATGTCTCCCAAGCGTAACATGTAAAGCGTGAAGAGTAACGGCCCTAGTACTGAGCCTTGAGGTACTCCATACTGCACTTGTGATCGATATGATACCTCTTCATTCACTGCTACGAATTGATGGCAGTCATATTGCTTACAATTTGATCTCTAATAGTATCGATCTTAGAAGTAAAGTAATTCATAAAGTCATTACTGCTGTGCTGTTGGGGAATGTCAACACCTGTTGATGCTTTATTTTTTGTTAATTTAGCCACTGTATTGAATAAATACCTGGGGTTATGTTTGTTTTCTTCTAAAAAGAGAAGAAAAGTAGTCAGATCTAGCAGTTTTTAATGCTTTTCTGTAGGATAGGTTACTTTCCCGCCATGCAATACGAAATACCTCTAGTTTTGTTTTCCTCCAGCTGCGCTCCATTTTCCGGGCTGCTCTCTTTAGGGTGCGAGTGTGCTCACTATACCACGGTGTCAGACTGTTCTCCCTAATCTTCCTTAAGCGTAAAGGAGCAACTGTATCTAAAATGATAGAAAAGAGAGAGTCCATAGTTTCTGTTAAATCAAGTTGTTCTGAGGTTTTGGATATGCTGAGGAATTGGGATAACTCCCTAATCTTCCTTAAGCGTAAAGGAGCAACTGTATCTAAAATGATAGAAAAGAGAGAGTCCATAGTTTCTGTTAAATCAAGTTGTTCTGAGGTTTTGGATATGCTGAGGAATTGGGATAAATCAGGAAGATTACTTACAAAGCAGTCTTTTGTGGTAGAAGTGATGGTTCTACCATACTTGTAACAAGGAGTAGAATTTACAGTTTTAGCTATATGAAGTTTGCACAAGACTAGATAATGATCTGAGATATCATCGCTTTGCTGCAGAATTTCAACACCATCAACATCAATTCTGTATGTGTGTGTGTGTGTGTGTGCAGGTCAGAAGCCGCATCAGTGCAGCATCTGCTGGCGCTCCTTCTCTCTGCGTGACTATCTGCTGAAGCACATGGTGGTGCACACGGGTGTGCGTGCGTTCCAGTGCTCCGTCTGCAGCAAGCGCTTCACGCAGAAGAGCTCTCTGAATGTTCACATGCGCACACACCGTGTGGAGCGCACCTTCACCTGCGGCGTCTGCCACCGCGCCTTCACCCACCGCACGCTGCTCGAGAGACACGCCCTGCAGCACCACACGCCCACCAAACCACCCACCAATCACCTGCAGCAGGGCGGCGCCAGCGGACCCGGCTCCGCCTCCTAGAGACAGGGACGACCGTCGGGGGAGAGAGGAGGCGCAATCCCAGGAGCTTTAACACTCGCACACTCACACTCACTCTCTCACACACACACACACTCTCTCTCTCACACACACAAAACACGCGCACACACACACACTCTCTCACACACACTCTCTCACACTCACACACACTCTCACTCTCACACACACTCTCACTCTCACACACACTCACACACACACACTCTCACACTCACACACACACACTCTCACACACACACACTCACACACACTCTCACTCTCACACACTCTCACTCTCACACTCTCACATACACTCTCGCTCTCACACACACACACACACACACACACACACTCTCTCACTCTCTCAGACACTCACACACACACACACACACTCACACACACACTCTCACAGACACTCACACACACACTCTCACAGACACTCACACACACACTCTCACAGACACTCACACACACACTCTCACAGACACTCACACACACACTCTCACAGACACTCACACACACACTCTCACAGACACTCACACACACACTCTCACAGACACTCACACACACACTCTCACAGACACTCACACACACACTCTCACAGACACTCACACACACACTCTCACAGACACTCACACACACACTCTCACAGACACTCACACACACACTCTCACAGACACTCACACACACACTCTCACAGACACTCACACACACACTCTCACAGACACTCACACACACACTCTCACAGACACTCACACACACACTCTCACAGACACTCACACACACACTCTCACAGACACTCACACACACACTCTCACAGACACTCACACACACACTCACACACACACACACACTCACACACACACAGACACACACACACACACACTCTCACAGACATTCTCACAGACACACACACACACACTCTCACAGACACTCACACACACACTCTCACAGACACTCACACACACACACTCTCACAGACAGACACACACACACACACTCTCACACACACACACTCTCACAGACACACACACACACTCTCACACACACTCTCACACACACACACACACACACACACTCTCACAGACACACTCTCGCTCTCAGCAGTGGTGTCTATGGAGTGTCGCGACGCCTCTTCGGCCCAGAAAACCTCATAAACACACAAACCTCATGGAATAACTCACACTAAACACAAACACACAGTCCTGCGCGTGTGATGCCGGGGACTTTAACGTCTTTTCAATGTTTTACGTGTTTGATCTGTTTTGTACATGTCTTCATGGACTCATCAGAAACCACAGTGACCTCAGGACCAGAAGAGACTTCGGAGCGCATTTATTACCTCCATTTTTATTTCAGCATCAACCTCCATTTTTACATTTTGTATCAAGTATATGCATAAATCTTAATGCTATTTTTATGGTGAAACGATATGTAAGAGTTTTATGTGCTGGGAGGATCATGTATTCTGCTCTGCTTTGGGCTTGGTATCTAGCATGTGCTCGCGTGACGCTGCATGAAGCTGCATTAAATGCATTGTGACGTTTCATGACGTGTCTCCTTCATTTATCCTTTCTTGTCATGCTTTATGGCAGGTACATTTAGACCGTTTCATGCTTTTTTTCTTTTAGAAATATAGCAATGTTCTGTGCCATTTAAATTAGGCCACTGTTGCTAGATCTTCAGCATCTGCTGTACTCTGTAAACAGCATGCATCATTAATGAGCTGAATAGTGGCTCTGTGATGTTTGATGGAGGATCTGTTGTTCGAGTCACTGAAGAACCTTCATCCACTGCACCGGTGAAGAATAAAACCAATCTTTCTCTTAGTCCGGGGTGATTAAACTATGACTAGATTAAACTGGTAAGGACTTCTTATTTAATCTACCCTTTGTTCATTTCAAAGCTGTGTACTTTAATCAGTCATTAAAACTAACCACGTTATATTCGTGTGAATGTATACCCTTTATCCTCCTCGGAATCACCCTGAAAACAAGCTCTTAAATAGGCTTTCTACACTTCACATTACAGCATTCACACACACTTCTACGGTGGCAGAGAAGTGCAAAGCAAATCACAATTCTGAAAACACAACAATTCAGAAAACATTACAAGAAGTCAGAAAACACAAGGACAATTCAGTCAAACCGGAAGAGGTGGGTATAGTTTGAGACAGCGCCATTGGTTTGGGATTACTAACCGCTGACTGGACGAGACATCTGTCAATCACCGTATACAGAGAAGAACCAGCCGAAGAACAGCAGAGTCCTGCTAGAAAGTGCGGAGATGGTGTTAAAGTAGCTCAGTTTACATGTATTGTATGAATTGCTCTTACTCTGGAATAAAGAATACGGAGTGTATATTTACATTTAGTTAAAAGTGGCTATAAATCATCAGCTCCAGTGGCGCAGATGGATAAGTGTGAGTCTTTGGCTTTTTGAAGCGATCGACCCGGGTTCGATCGTTTTCAAATCTCGTATCACATCGTAAAGGCATTTATTTTCAATAAAAATTAAGGAAATAATCAAAAAGTTGAAAATAAAGTATGGGGTAGGGTTAGGGTAGGTGTAGGGAGGGCTTTATTGTAGCAATAAAGTGGCATCCATTTCATAATTAAAATTATAATTTACACTCAATACGTTATTATTGCATACTGTTTTATAATGTACTACAATACTGAAGTGCAGATAATTGCCACTATTTGCAACAAGTAGTATACTGGATAGTAGAAATCCTGCTATTTTAACATAGTGTAACTAGAATCCATTGCTAATACGAGATTTGAAAAGGGAGAAAAATAAGTTCGGCAGAAGGCGGGATCGAACCCGGGTCGATCGCTTCAAAAAGCCAACGACACGCACTTATCCTTCTGCGCCACTGGAGCTGATGAGTTACAGCCACGTTTAACTAAATGTAAATATACACCCCGTATTGTTTATTCCAGAGTAAGGGCAATTCATACAATACATGTAAACTGAGCTACTTTAATAGCATCTCCGCACTTTCTAGCAGGACTCTGGTGTTCTTCGGCTGGTTCTTCTCTGTATACGGTGATTGACAGATGTCTCGTCCAGTCAGCGGTGAGTAATCCCAAACCAATGGCGCTGTCTCAAACTATACCTACCTCTTCCGGTTTGTCTTTGTGTTTTCTGAATTGTGATTTTGTTTTCTGAATTGTCGTTGTGTTTTCTGAATTGTGATTTGCTTTGCACTTCTCGGCCACCGCACACTTCAGATCAAGACCTGTCACTCACAGTAGATGAACAGCGCATGCGCCGGACTCGCGGCTGCGTTCACTTCGGTCGTGTGTCGTCGTGTCGGGTTGTTTGTGCTGTCTGGAGACGCTGAACACGCAGGATCGGTGAGCGGCGCGAATATGCTACAGATATAGACAGACACAGCCCGAATACGCTGAGATATAGCGCACATCTCCGAGATCCAGTGCACCTTCAGTTTCTGTTTGAGAGCTGAGAGCTGTTTGCGCTTATTTGAAGTTCCGTGTGATTTGTTTGTGTAGGTTTGCTGTGTTTTATGGTCATTTTCCTTGAAGTATGTTGTATAAAGGTTCAGAGAGAGGAATGAGAGCGCTGAATGTTAGTAGGTGAGAGTTCACAGGTCAGCGGTCAGCAGTTTCACTGATTAATGCAGAGCTTCTCTCTTCAGCCAATAATAACAAAGCCTTATGTAGGTGATGAGATGACCTTTGACCTGCAGGACGAGCTGGGTAACCTTGGGTAACAGACAGCTCTGTGTGTGTGTGTGTGTGTGTGTGTGTGTGTGTGTGTGTGTGTGTGTGTGTGTGTGTGTGTGTGTGTGTGTGTGTGTGTGTGTGTGTGAGGGAGTGAGTGAGTGAGTGTGTGTGTGTGTGTGTGTGTGTGTGTGTGTGTGAGTGTGTGTGTGTGTGTGTGTGTGTGTGTCGACAGTAATGGCAGTCCAGCTGTGTTGCCGGGGTCAGCGCGTGGCTCTGCTCATGCTCAGCAGGAGTGTGTCTCACAGCAGTGTCTCCATCAGCGAGCCGGACTCTCACACACACACACCTGCGCCGTTCTCCCGCTCCTCCATCGGGACCTTCTTCCAGGAGCGACCTCTGCTCACAAACCCCTTTACCCAGGATGCACTGCTCCGGGCCTACCTGCAGCGCCACCTACCTGATCAGGTACATCTCCCAGGAGTGTGTGTGTGTGAGAGCAGGTGTGTCTGAGCAGGAGTGTGTGTGCTGATGGTGTGTGTGTGTGTGAGCAGGAGTGTGTGTGTGTGTGAGCAGGAGTGTGTGCTGATGTGTGTGTGTGCTGATATGTGTGTGTGTGTGTGTGTGCGTATGTGTGTGTGTGCTGATATGTGTGTGTGTGTGTGTGTGCGTATGTGTGTGTGTGCTGATATGTGTGTGTGTGTGTGTGTGCGTATGTGTGTGTGTGCTGATATGTGTGTGTGTGTGTGTGTGCGTATGTGTGTGTGTGCTGATATGTGTGTGTGTGTGTGTGTGCGTATGTGTGTGTGTGCTGATATGTGTGTGTGTGTGTGTGTGCGTATGTGTGTGTGTGTGTGTGTGCTGATGTGTGTGTGTTTGAGCAGGTGTGTGTGCTGATGTGTGTGTGTGTGTGTGTGTGTGTGCAGCAGGTGCAGCGGGATCTCCTGCTCTTCGGTGAGCGGCTGGTCTCTGAGATCGAGGCTCTGGGTCGTCAGTGTGAGCTGAGTCCTCCTGTGCTGCAGCGCTATGACGCCTGGGGCCGCCGCGTGGACCGCATCCTCACCTGCGATGCCTGGACACGCCTCAAACACATCTCTGCACAGGAGGGCCTGGTGGCAGCGGGGTACGAGCGCACCTATGGAGATTGGAGGTCAGAACACACACACACACACACACACACACTAACACAACACAGCACACACACACACACACTTGTACACTCTCTCTCTCACACACACACACACACACTAACACAACACAGCACACACACACACACACTTGTACACTCTCTCTCTCACACACACACACACACACTAACACAACACAGCATACACACTCATACACTCTCACACACACACACTAACACAACACCGCACACTCATACACTCTCACACACACACTAACAAAACACAGCACACACACACTAACACAACACAGCACACACACTCATACACTCTCACACACACACACTAACACAACACCGCACACTCATACACTCTCACACACACACTAACAAAACACAGCACACACACACACTAACACAACACAGCTCACACACACACACACACTAATACACTCTCTCTCACGCACACACACACTAACACAGCACAGCACACACACACACACACAAACACACCGGAATCAGTCAGGATCACAGAAGTCAGAAAGAGCGTTATTACCAAGTAAGTTTACACACACAAGGAATTTGACTTGACGACAGGAGCCTCCATTTATATGAATAACACAGTAGAGATTAAATGTAACAATAATATAAGAAAAATTTAATTAAATAATGCACCATATACAGAAATAGAAGTATAGAAAAAAAAATTAGGTAACACTTTACTTGAAGGGGTGTGCATAAGACTGACATGACACCTTCATAATCATGGCACGACACATGTCATGAATATGAAGGAGGTTTTATGCATGTTTATGACAACTGTCATTAAGTGTCATTCGCTCAGTTATGTCATTTGTAATGCAAATATGACATTATTTGACCTAACCCTACCCCTACCCTTACCCCTAACCATAGCCCATAACAAAGACATCTCAAACAATGTCAGCTTTGCATTAAAAATTACATAACTGAGCGAATGACACTTAATGACAGTTGTCATAAACATGCATAAAAAACTTCATATTCATGACATGAGTCATGTCATGATTATGAAGGTGTCATGTCAGTCTTATGCACACCCCTTCAAGTAAAGTGTAACCAAAAAGTATTGTTTAAATGAATGTACAGGTATGTTATTTACAAGTGTGCAGTTTACAAATGTACAAGTTTCGGATTCTATAAATATGTATTCTATAAATATGTCAGTTATGTTGGACAATGTATAGTAATGAAAGATTAATTGTTCAGGCTGAATATAGCCTGTGGGTAAAACTGTTCTTGTGCCTGGCTGTTCTGGAGGTAACAGTACCTGAATTTCGGAGCTGGTACACAACGGTACCTTTTTTCGGTACTTTACTCTCTGTGTAATTAACATTTGTTAAAAAACATTTATTTCAGTGAAAAAATTAGTCCAAAAGTCTCAGGTTGTTGAGACTGCACCAGACAGCCAGCTCTTTAACCTCCTGACTGTAAGCAGACTCATCACCGTCCTGAATGAAGCCGATGACTGTAGTGTCGTCTGCGAACTTCAGGAGCTTGACAGAAGGTAAGCATCCTCTTTGGCGTGACGAAGCTGTTTGAGTTTCCCAGTAAACCACGGTTTATCATTATTAAATTATAAGAATGTCCTGGTAGGAATGCACATATCTTCACAGAAACTGATATAAGATGTTACAGTCTCTGTGAGCTCGTCCAGATCGGTGGCAGCAGCTTCAAAAACACTCCAATCAGTGAGGTTGAAGCAGGCTTGTAGATCCCGCTCTGCTTCATTAGTCCATCTTTTAACAGTCCTTAATACGGGTTTAGCTGATTTCAGTTTCTGCCTGTAGGTCGGTATAAAATGAACCAAACAGTGATCAGAGAGCCCCAAAGCTGCCCGTGGAACAGAGCGCTATGCATCTTTTATTGCTTTGTAACAGTGATCCGATATATTACTGTCTCTGGTGGGGCATGTAATGTGCTACTTGTATTTTGGCAGTTCACGGGAGAGATTTGCTTTATTAAAATCTCCAAGAAAGATTAAAATAGAGTGTGCGTACCTTTGCTCCATTTGGTCCGGAGGCACGTACACATTCACGAGAATGAAAGAGGAAAACTCCCGCGGCGAGTAGAACAATTTACAGTTTATGAAGAGCACCTCTAAAGTAGGAGTTCTCATCTTTTCCAGCGTTGTTACTAGGGATGTGCAACAGTGATCGAGTACTCGAGTACTCGACCGTGACAGCGATGATCGATCATGTAAACGATGATCACATTTTTATTTATTTTTTCCCCCTGATTGGTTATAGCAGCACTTTGGGCGGCGCCCTGAGCAGGGCTCTACAGTGCGACCATTTCAGTTGCATTTGCGACTGAAAACTACTGCGTGCGACTATGAAAATATATTTAGAAGCCCCAGTGCGACTGACCAGATCATCATCATACTTGTGATTGTGATCGCTGAGGGGAGCTTCAAAGCTTTCTACGTGTTTTTGCAGCGTTGAGTAATGTATCACAGACATATCTCATGAATCCTTTCATAAGCAAAGTATAGACGGTGTAAATAAGAGATTCATCGCGCAGTGTAGAGAGCTTCGTTAATTATAAATGTGAGATCGCGATGAACTAAGATGAGTGACAGCGTTTAATGATTTTTAAGGGAGTTTGCAAACGTGATACTGATTTAATACAACAGTTAAATAGACAAGAAGTTAATATTAAGTGACTTACATTGTCTGACTATAACACTATTGCCTGATTTTGCTCTATTTCGTGTTGAAAATAGTTTAAAACAAAGACACAGCAGAGCCGCTGCGCATCTCTAAAAGCAAACACAGCGGTGTTTCGATTATGAATGAACGTGCGTTTCTGAAGGAATCCAGTGAGTCAGTGATTCACGATTACACATTCATAAAGACAGTCACGTGCTTCATTCCTGAATGATTCAGCTGTTCGAATGAATCAATTGAATTAATGATTCAGTGATAAAAATCAGTGACTTGCCGCCACCTGCTGGTGGATTTAGTTTCATTTTTAAAGTATCTTTTCAGTTCTTTAAATCATTTAATATTTCTATATTCAACATTTTTTTAAAACATTAAATTTTTTTTAGGAGCACAAGCGCTCCTAAAAAGAAAAATAAGCGTAGAGCCCTGGCCCTGAGCTCTGATTGGTTAGCTTGCCACAGGATGCATCAAAAGAAGAAAGCGAATCATGGCCTCAAAGTCACGTAGTGATGTCTGGCTTCACTTTGAGAAGACAGATGAAAATACAGTTCAGTGCAAGCTGTGCAGCGCCATGCTGTCACACAAATCTACAACAAGTACAATGCGCTATCATCTAACATTTGTACATAAAATGTCTGGCGATAACAGAGCGGCAACTTAGACGAGTATTGCATCATTTGCCGTTAGACCAAAATGCAACGCAGGCAGAACAGAGAAGATGATGCAGCTAATCGCTGAAATGGTGGTGAAAGATTTGCTGCCCATTAGTTTCGTCGACGGAGAAGTATTTAAAGATTTCATGCATTACGTTGAGCCCGAGTATGACATTCCGTCACGCAAAACAGTCACGGCAAGAATAGATGCTCTATATGAAAAGACTGCTTCTTCACTGAAGGACAGACTGTCAAAGACAATAGTGACACTAATGTAGTCTATATTGCTTTTACTTGTTTTTTTTATATTATTATTATTACTGATGTTATAATAATGCAGCCGTGCTTTTTTTCATCATATTTGTGGGCATAATTCAATTCATATGGCTTCAAAAATGCACAGGCGATTTATGGATAATAACTTAAAAATAAAACTTAATTACAACTATTACACTTAATAACGTACAAACACAATTCCAAAAAAGTTGGGTTACATCTGAACACCAACTTTTGTAAAGCTTTAGAAACACAATCCAGCACCTCTGGTTTTCCCCGTTAACTCCGCGATGCGATCCGCTCTGAACAGCTGGAAGCCCGGCAGATGAAGCCCGTTGTCCGGAATGGCTTCACTCAGCCAGGTTTCACTGAAGCACAGTGCAGCAGAGTTTGAAAA